TATGGTCCTATTTTGGAATAAAAATCATAGCAAGTCCTATTTTGAGTTTTTGTCATAGTTTTAGTCCTATTTGAAGTAATTTTTATTCGTTAATTGGTTTAATTGGCCATTTTAAAAAAGGTTTAAAAATCCACATTATTCGGATGCTGGGAAGATTCGAATCTACTCATCCGAACATTCCGACAGTTCCAACCCACAACCGGAATTGAGCGGCTGTAAACTCCACTCCACTTGACCACCACCCAATTCATATATACGCAACATTTCGATTTAATTTCCATGGGAATATTTCACAGGGCCAAAACGCAGCTCCTTCTCCTTCCCTTCGCATTTAACTGTAAAAACTCCCTAACATTTCATTCCATTATTATATAAAAATAAAAATACCGACTTTCTGTTATTATGCCAAGGTCTTGAGATTCCATTCGTTGGGGGCGGGGGGTTTGCTTTTATTTCCTACAAACATATATTGTATTAAATTTTCGAACTTGATTGACCGGTCTTTTCATCTTTCAGGCCGTCGCCGGAAATCCCACTTTCCGGTTGCAAAGGGGTGCCGGTTCCGCAACTTCTTGGAATTTGGCGCCCTTTTCATCCCGGGTCACACAGATTTCAAATGCAATTGACCTGTTTCTGCACAGGAAATCGCGTAAACGTGTGTATCTGTTTTCAAGCACGTGCATATATAAATTTGTGTGCATAGTTGTCGTGATGGCCGTGGATTTTCCGGGGAGATCAATTCACAATGTGTTGGAAAGGGTCGGGATCAGCCAGAAGCGGTGCAGGTATGAGATCCACGCTCATGATGAAGATGAGGATGGGACGACAATGGAGATGGTGCAGCTTGGGGCCGAGAGGACCAAAAATGTGTTGATCCTCATGAGTGATACGGGCGGGGGCCACCGTGCCTCGGCCGAAGCCGTTCGGGATGCTTTCAAATTGGAATTCGGGGATGAGTACAATGTAAGCTCAACTTAATTGCTTCCTGGTTCAGTTTCTTTTTCGATGTTTCTTATCTTGAATCTGATTATATTGGTTGGGTAGGAAAGGTTAGTTTACCTTTATTCTATTCTGTTATTCTAAGATAAGATGCTCTCATTGTACATTAGTATTGCCTTTGGCCTTTAGGGCTTGTTTGGTTTGGGGAGTTCGTATAGGAAGGAATGGGATGGGTGATATGTATATTGCTTACATGAAGGTGGTTAAAGAGAAAGTGATGATGAAAACTTGGGCAAAAATACATCTTTTATCTAAACATATAACATAAGTTAAATAATGATGACACGATACATTACTTAACAGAAATCAATCATATCCTTCCATCCAAAATCTCCAAACCAAATGAGCCCCAATGGATGCTTACATTAGCCTTACCCTCATCTCAAAGCACCAATTCATCCTTACTTTATTGCATTGGCTGAATCGGTATGTTATACTGAAATGCTGATTAGGATTGTGTTCAGTTCTTTTGTGTGAAAAGGTTGAGATGAAGATAAATACCATTTTTATGATCGTATATATGTTCAGTATTGTTTCTTTTTAATTTATTAAAAATACAATCTAAAGATTTTGTTTCTGATAATTCAGTCCATTCAGCTGTTTCAAACTTTCAACCAAATTGTAGCTTCACCAAATGCATTCACAAGTATATTCTTCTAAAAAGGTCTTATGTGTTCACTGAATTTCTATGTCTTTAGTGTCCTGGCATCTATTTCCAGCTAGCATTGCTTTTTTTTTGGGGGGGGGGGTCCACCAATTGTTTAGAATTTAAAAAAAAATCATTTCTTTTTTGTTTTGTTTGGCCAGCTCTGGGTTTGATGACCTGGTATTTGTACATTATGTTTATGGTCTCACATGGGTGAACATGTCCTCTCTGCAGTGGCCCTACAGACTTTCCATGATCTTGAAGAATGAAGATCAGTTAGATGTATGAGTTTATATTTTCTTTTTATTTTCTTTTTGCAGATTTTTGTAAAGGATGTTTGGAAGGAATACACTGGCTGGCCGCTGAACAACATGGAGCAGCAGTACAAGTTCATGGTAAAACATGTGCAACTGTGGAGTATTGCATTTCATGGCACCTCACCTCGCTGGATACATTCTATTTACCTTGCTGCCATTGCCGCCTTCTATGCAAAGTATATACCGCCTTTGTTCTTAATTAATAATCCCCTTGGGTATTTTGTGGTTTTTAAGAAAGAAAATATAAAGGGTTATATCGAGGGTGTAGGCTAAATGAAAATGTAGGAAAAAGAAAGTAGTTTGTAAAAAGTTACCCCATCCTTTCCAAATTGATAGTTCCACACTTTTGGGCACAAAGTTTAAGAAAGTGAGATAAGCTGACCCAACTACCATTGTAAAAAAAGTTACCTCTTTTTAAAAAATTGAATTACTCATAAAGGTAAGGTTAAAATGGACATTTTATTTAAAAAGATGTGCCCAAAAATGGTACTACCTTTTCGGGACACCGCAAAAAGGAAATATGAGACTATCAATTTGGGACGGAGGGAGTATTAAACCGGCACTAGAAATACACTTTTTTAATTGGATGCTAAATTCGGTTTTGAGATTGGATAAAATAAAATATAATCTCTTGTTTGGCATATCTGAAAGTAATTAAAGTAATACTACGTATTTTTTATATCGTTCTTCCAAGGGGTTTGCTAATTGCATATTGGCTGTTGAATAGGGAGGTAGAAGCTGGGCTAATGGAATTCAAGCCAGACATAATCATTAGCGTTCATCCTCTTATGCAGCACATCCCACTGTGGGTTCTTAAATGGCAAGGTCTACAAAAGAAAGTAATCTTTGTCACCATCATTACAGATCTCAATACTTGCCACCGCACGTGGTAAGTATTTTTAACAGCTTCAATTTCATCAGTAGGCATATTGGACTTGATCCCGTAATTGTAACTTGTAAAAAACGGTTTTATGGTAGGTTCCATCCTGGTGTCAATAGGTTATACTGTCCCTCAGAGAAGGTTGCAAAGAGGGCACTCCTTGACGGTCTGGAAGAATCTCAGATACAGGTTTTCGGGTTACCTATCCGGCCCTCTTTCTGCCGGGCAGTTCTCTCTAAGGTGTTCTTCATAATTTGGATTTTGGTTGAACCGTTTGATAATGTTTTATGTGTCAATATCTCTTACTTTTCGATTGGTTTGGCTTAGGATGAGATAAGAGTAGAACTGCAGATGGATCCGGTGCTACCAGCAGTTTTGCTAATGGGGGGTGGCGAAGGCATGGGACCCGTCAAGAAAACCGCAAAGGCACTAGGAGAAGCATTGTTTGATAAAACTCTTGGGAAGCCTATTGGACAGATGGTGGTCATATGTGGGCGCAATGAATCCCTTGCCTCCACATTACAAGAACATGAGTGGAACATTCCTGTGAAGGTGATTGTTAAGCTATCGTAAAATACGAAAATACAAAATCGCATGTAAGGCATTGAGCTATTCTGCCAGTTTGACCTTTTATGATGGAAATTTTAAGGCTTATGGTTAGTCTCAATTTAGGACAAGCAATCAATTGATTTGATTAAAAATGAGAAAGATGAAACTGCACATCCGTTAAATACAGAAGTGCTAACTCACATACAGAGGTTGATCTTTTAATATCAAATTCCTAGTTTTATTTATAAAAATATATCTTATCCTCTTGTATCCATTCCTAAAGCATTCTCTCAGCGGTATTTATACACTGCTTTTACAGGACTAGATCATGTAGATTGTATCACAAATAACACTACTTTATTTTTTCCTTAACGCTATATGCGTCTGTTCAAATCCTAGCTTGGCATGGGCATTGACAATTTATCATCTGTATTGCAGATAAGAGGGTTCGAGAAACAAATGGAAAAGTGGATGGGAGCTTGTGACTGCATTATAACAAAGGTGCATTCAATTTCCTTCTAGCTATCCGATATCCTTTCAGTCAAATTAGACATAATAATATGGATTTTTGAATTTAGGCCGGCCCGGGTACAATTGCAGAAGCCTTAATCAGAGGGCTTCCCATTATTCTCAACGATTACATACCTGGCCAAGTCAGTAAACTTAAATTTAATCCCTTGATTTGTTCTGTTTTGGCAACTTCATTTCTCAGGATTCATTTCTTAATTTGTATGTGCAGGAAAAGGGAAATGTTTCACATGTAGTGGATAATGGTGCTGGTGTTTTCACAAGAAACCCCAAGGAAACGGCTAGGATCGTCGTGGAATGGTTTAGCACCAAGTGTGATGAGCGGAAAAGAATGGCTGAGAACGCACTCAAACTTGCACAACCTGATGCTGTGTTCGACATTGTGAAGGATATTCACGAGCTTGCAGCACAACGAGGCCCTCTTGCTGATATCCCTTACACGCTTACCTCCTCTTTTTCAAGCTTAATATAATATAATGGCTAGATACTAGATAGACTTGCATTCTCCTGTCCCGCCTAAGGTTTGTTGTTGTAGAATAACGCTTGTTATAATGTACAGGTAGTGTTATTCATTTATCTCATTCTTCTTTCAAGTCGATGGATGGGAAGTTATTTATAAGCAGTTTTTCCTAGACAAACTGGATTGATATCTTGTTGTATGCCTTTCCGTTTCTCACTGGAAAGATCATTTTGAGCTCTAAAGCTATTGTTCTGAACTTCTGACTCAATTTACAATGCATTATAGGGTATAAATTAACTTGAAATTCACAAACATTTCCAATTTCACTCTGAACACATGTAGAAATTGATTTGATTATATCTTGGTGTATTTAGTTCCATTTAAAACATTTTCTATCTCATTGGAAAGATCTTATTGAATTCTAAAACTCGTCTTCAGGCATTGGTTTCAAAAAATTACGGGAAGACTACCTAATGAATCGAAATTCAAATTCCAGATTGTATTTACGCTAATAATGCTCTATTTACACAAAAAATGTTAAATCACAAAAGCCAGACTTGGTATTTTTGACACTCATATCTTCCTATATGTTCTTCTGTTTCAAACGTATTACGAGTATATCTCATTGGAAAGATCATTTTGAGTTCTAAAGGTATTGTTCTGACTCAATTTACAATACATTAAATAAAAGGTACAGATTAACCTGAAATTAACAAACATTTTCGATATCACTCCATTTAAAGAGTTTTCTAACTCGTTGGAAAGAACTTATCGAGTTAAAACTCGTCTTCACTCTTCAGGCGTCGATTTCAAACTATTACGGGAAGAATACCTACTGAACTGAATTTCAAACAAAAAACCCAGAAGCGTTTTTTAAGCTTTTGCTAATAGACCCTAAGTAAAATAGACCCTAAGTAAAATGATGATGAATGGACAAGTGAATACAAGAGAGCATGCGGAATCGTCATAAGTTTTTTTTGCACATGATGATCTCATCGTCAAGTACAATGCGTCGTTCTACAACAAAAAAAAGGGGATATCATCACTGAATATTGATCTAACGTTACAATGATTTTTCACAAAATAAATTACAAACAGGTTAAAAACAGAATATATTCATACATTTAGACAGCTACAGGCGGAGACCAGAAGGAAAACAAGCATCTGGAATGCTTTTCTCCGCATATCGCTATTGCCAACCATTTATTTCTTTGTTTGAGGCTGAAAACAAAATTCCAAGATAATGTAAACATACAAATGATTAAAAAATCTGGAGACCATAAAAGATATTAAGCAATTTAGAAACACCCACCAATAGCAAATATGCTTGGCTTACTTATATTACGTAGTATATATTTAATGATCATTTACTGGACATTGATATAATGTGATATATTTATCTCATAATAAAGTAATCATTTTTATCTCAATGGCATGCTATGAAACTCATATCTTCGATCTATAACTAATTGCATTCACATCCCTAACCCTTCAAAACTACTAAGCACAACCTAACCCATAAATTTAATGCATAAGCATAATACTGGTTCCATGACCACCATGGCAAGAGAAATTAGAAAGCATATGAAATATCAATTTGCAAGCAACCATACCCAAGGAGAAGGTTTTCATTCCAAAAGATAAGCCTGTCCCGATCAAGAATTGCTACGCTGTCTTTTTTTGTCTACAGTTGCTTCTAGAATCCCATCAGACCCAAATGATATTGTATGTTGCTTTCCAATTGGCCCAGGAAGCTGAAATGAAATGGTGAACTTTCCAGGTGGGCATAGATTTGATGTGTTCATCTTAAAGACCATGTTATGTTTGTAAACAGCTCGCACTCCAGTCAATGTTATGCCCCTTATATCTACCTTCCCATTAGGCTCAATGTTACAGTGAAAGTCTTCTGTCACCATAAAAGCATACAAAAACATAATAAAAATCCAGCGCAGCCAATAATATGCACATCTTAAAAGACTTGCAAATGGGAACATGTCTCTGAAATAACTTGGATCTATTAATTACTTGCTCTGTATGATTTAGAGTTTTTCGCTGAAATTGCTGCATATGCTAATTTGATGAAATTGATTCAACCACATAAGTAGGTTGAAACTCGAAAGCAATATTCTTCAGACAAAAACTTGTTAAATTTGAACATTACAAAATTTCTTATCAGTTGAAATCTAAAATAGAGGACAGTGATATGTGTACATGAAGGCTTTGGGAAGAGTTCAGTAAAGAGTAATCATCTCATATTTGCTTTCAAATTATGTCACCCTCACTTTATTTACTCAGGGTAAATTAAAAAAATCATGGAACTCTTCCCTAACCCTCTCTCCTCACATATACTATTACGCAGGAAAATATATTTCATCTCTTCAAGCTCAAGGGTGAATCCGTGAATGAAGAATATATAATCATGTAAATTGAAGTTGAAAAGTAGTCAAAAGATCCTAGGTAGTTTAAAGTGTCTCAAGTAATCTTAGAGTACCTATATATGCATATAAATGTGCACGTGTGTTGTGTATCCTTGAAGGAAGCTCAAGACTTCAAGTTAGGCAATATCAATAAAACTCTGGTTACATGGAATCAAAGCCAGCAATTCTATGCATAGTGGCTAGTCCCACTGAAGTTCTACATCAGCCTCTAGTTGAAGTTCCATGTCATGAGCAACGCCCACAGAATGAAAAATATTCATGAAGTGGTTGTTCTTCAATTTGTCTGATTTCCCGCAAACAAATTATCTCACTGCCACCATAGAAAGTATTCTCCACTCCCCTTGAATCATACCTCATGCACCAGGGGCATGAATCTCATAGTGATATGGGTGCTTTCTTGGCCTGGGATCATACCGCATCATTCTTATATTTTAAAAGTATGTGTGCAGGATCAGGCCCAATGTCTATAAGATGACTTTGGAAAATGTACTAATTACTGGAAGGAAATGAACCAACAGTTTACAGTTCCAAAGGACTTTAGCATACTAGGAGTCTTTAACTGCTTATATTCCTAATTAGGACACGAGGTTCCTATTTCCTTATTTGCAATGGAGCCAAAAACTCATTATTTTTTGGCTTGAGAATATGATGGAATAAAGCAAAATGATTCACTAAACTGTCTGCGCTTCTTTGTTATGAAGCATCGGTCAGTCTATGTAATTTTTGACGTGATTTTCACTATGGGTCATTCGGAAACAGCCTCTAAGTACTTTAGAACAAGGGTAAGGCCGAATACATCCGATGATGATGATGATAGTTGCACAAAATATTGTTTTCACTCATTCCATAAAATAATTGTTGTTTCTATTTATTTTTTTAAAACGCATCTCAACCACACAAATTTAATTACTTAACTAGTTGTCCCTTACCTATGGGAGCCTACCATGGACCTGTGAGAGCATGTGCTATTTAAACCCCTCAAGGAAGATATGCTTAAGGAATATAAGTACTCCTTAGTTATTCAAAAATTCAAAAGCTTGAACCAATTCCATCAAACCAAACCTTCAAAAAATGACCTCTTTCAAAATAAGACAAGGCCAGAATTACAGATAGACCAGGTTTAAACCAATAGCATATCTTTCGGGCTAAAAGAGATCACAGCATAAATCCAAAGTTTCACTGTCAAATAAATGCATTTAGCTAATGACAAGCAACCAACAAAGTACCTGCATCAGCTGAAACACCAGGGAGTGAAACACGGAACAGATACTTGGTATCAGACTCTAGAATATCAACAGCTCCTATAGGATGTCCTACTTTCCCCATTAGAGCAGTTCCAGTAATCAAACTCCCTGCTTTAGCACTGGCCGCAGCAAAAAGACTGGTCTTCTCTTCGGGAGTCAAAAGATCAGTAAAATAAACCATTGCGGGTTGAGTGCTGGCATTCTCTGAAGATTCATCATCTTCAGATGAGGTCGAGGGTGTTTTACATCCCTCCACAGGACCATATGTTGGGAGAGGACCAGTGTAGGGCACAGAACGGAGAGGTGCTACATCAATAACAGACTGTGCGTGATCTTTCGGATCTGTACCATTACTCTCATCACCTTGCCCCCTGGAGTGAGAAGCCGTGAGGGATCACACAATTAGAAAGGCATTCATATTAAACCCATACGAAAAATTGCTTTTTTTTTGCAGAAAAATAGCAGCTTTACAAGCGTGAACGAAACAATGAACATATAACATAATAATAGATTCAGAAAGAAGGTAAGAGGTGGGTACATCGATTCCTAGAGCAGTTCCGAACTCGATTTCAGGCAGAAATGTTGAATCACTTCTTCTTCCCACAAAATGAGAGATGCATATATATATTCTTCATACGAGAAATGCTAAAAGCGCTGTTTCCATCAGTTGCTCAACAAATCGAGCTCTTATACACCCATTACTGAAGCTTTTGGGAAATTAACTCTTCTACTTCAGGTAGAAGCGCAAGGATGGGGAGAAATGACATATACAACGGTAGGAGGTCGACGGATAAACTGATAATTTTGCGGTGGCCACACACCTTTGATCTATTAGGAATTTCTTGAGCTGCGCAGGTTTCCGGGAAAGATTAGGGTTACTTATACGTTGGGCCGATTCCTTTTAGGGCTACGGAAATGTCTGTCATTTCTTCTACTTTTACAACTGGTTTGCAACCGCTTTAAAAAAAAAGTATTTCTCATCTTTTGGCTTTAAAATCACTTATTTACCAAATATTATCAAAAAAAAATTCTTGGCTTTCGTGTCAAAAGTACTTTTCCCCTTTTTATACACCAAAAGCACTTATTTCACCAAACACTACCAATTTTTACTTTTCAAAATCACTTTTTTCTCAAACACTATCAACTTTTACAACTAATCACTTTTTCCAAATCACCCCAAAAGTGCTTTTTTTAAGTAGAAGCTGTTGCAAACACTCCCTTATTCTAAGCTTTATTTACTTTTTTTAAGTATTTTACTTGGGTTTTATTTTGATTGTGTTATTGGTGTTCTTTTGGATGTTTAAAGATGTTTAAAATGCTATGTGACCTAAGTCCATCTTCTTAGTCTTCATAAGCTATTTGTTCATTTAGTAGTGGTTAGTGAATTGGTGCACAAAGTCTTGCGAAAATAATTATACATCTAATAATAGGGCTTTTGACCAAATTAGGGCTGGGCATATCGGTTTTCGGTTCGGTTCGGTTTTTATCGGTTTCGGTTCAATTTGGAACAGGTTGGAAGAATTATTACCAAACATAAACCATACTATTTTTCGATTTGGTTGGCTCGGTTTAGTTCGGTTTGGCTTTGTTAATTTTTAATAATATATATAGGATTTTTTGAATTTCATTAGTTCGGTTCGGTTTTGTTCGGTTTTTATCAGTTTTGGTTCGGTTCAGTTTAATACGGTTTGGAAGAAATCGTACCAGACTCAAACCAAATTGTATATGGTCCGGTTTCGGTTCGGTTTGGTACGGTTCGGTTAAACCAAACCGTTATGCCCACCTCTAAAATTAGGGGTGTTTATCTGATTAATTATTTGCATGTTGTTGAGATATTTATATAAGTTGGCCTTTGTTCTTTAAAAAGAACTTGGGTGATTATATCTATTAAATTACTAAATACAACTACTAGATTAAAATTTTATTCTTAAACTTAATTACATGACAAACATTTCAATATAGCATTAGTGCACTTCACGTTTTGAAGGTTATGCTTTTATAGGGAGAAGGGTAAAAGATAACACTCACATTTTTAATGAATTTCCGATTGAACATTGAGGTTTTTAATAAACCAAATTGACACAGATTCAACCTTATTCGTTGCATTTCAACCACGCACTAACCTTTTCGTTAAATGGCGTGGATAAGACTATACATGCTCCCGCGATCCACCCAAGTCCCGACCAGAACACTTTCAGTTGTTTTTTTCCTCCACGCTGTTCTTCTTCTTTCCAGGTCACAAGGTCGGCTGCTCATCATCACACACACTCTTCTTTTCTTCTCCTGACCACCATGGCTGAAGTCAAACCACACTTTGAATTCATCTGCCTATTTGTACCCTTTTCCTCGCATAGGGAGCTGTAGAAGTTCTTGGTAGGAGGGAACTCAGACTTTATGTTCAATTTCATCATCCGGACTTGACCCACAACAGATTGCGGAAGCCGAGGACCAAGTTCTATCTTAGACAATTTACTAGCACCCAAATCACTCACCTTATCTCTATACCCGATGAAGCTCTCCTGAGGCAACAACCCAGATCGTGTCTTAGTCTTATGTAACCCTAAAGAAGAAGCTATAAAATTGGTGAAGTTGATACGTTGGAGAAGTGTGCAGCAAGACTTCTTTGACATCCGCAAACTTTGATTTCTTAAGTTGAAGAACCTAAGCCCTCCCATCCTCTGAACTTAGATTAGTAATTCCAGGTGTGAAAATTTCCTGTGAGCTTCCTCTTATCTTTGGACCTAACAGCTGGACTCGGAGCCAGAGACAATTACTGGGAGAATCTTTGTCCTTGGATGGAGAACCGGTTAATGCCTTTTTCTAATCGCGTTGGTTCCGACAGGAGAATTTGACAATAAGGACGCGGGCTATTGGTGGATTCATCCGTGGTGCAAGATTCATATCTTTTGGAAGAGGAAATTTGACCTTTGAACACCATGCTCCGATGGTGGGTCTGCTCTATTTTTTAAACACATGCTACTAATATCTTCTCTTTTCAGAGAACTAAGCATGTAGAAGATGACCGTGGACCAGGAAGACATTAAAGTTTCTTTGAAAGGAGAAGTTTAGATGACGTTCCATTTTTCCTTTGTTTTAGCCTTTTAGGTTGCCTTGTTTGTTTGAGGCTAACGCCGTTTAAGAGAAACGTTAGTGGGTGGCTGAAAAGCCACAAATAAGTTAGAATTTGTGCTTATTTGGTCTACTAAAAATCACAATGTCCAATATGAGACTCATTAAAATCCTTAGTGTCATTTTTGGCCGTTCTGCCTAATTTTATATAGCAATTATGTATAATAATTACGATACTTCATTAACATATATGATTTTTTTGGAAGAACATATATAATTAGTATATTCATTCCTCATTACATATTTGTATTCTAATAAAAAAAATAACATAAGTAAATTAAAGGATCTTATATATTGATATATATATATATATATATATATATATATATGCATATAATATATATGACGGAAAAGATCATGTCCAGCCAGAGGGACATGATCCTCCGTCCGGCCGCCGCTGCCGCTTGGGGCAATTCCCGGTGGAGTTTTTTGATGAAATTTTTATGGAATGTTCCTCATCAAGTCTAGTTTATCCACACAAAAATTCAGCTAAAAACTCGTTCGGGAAGCCAGTCAAATAATTATTTGAAGATAACTGCGTCAAATTAAACATATAAAACGCAATTATGTTTCAAAAAATTATTTGTCTGCCTTCCCGATCGAATTTTTAGCTGAAATTTTTTGTGAATAAACTACACTTGATTAGAAACATTCCATAAAAATTTCATCAAAGAAATCCACCGGGAACCGCCCCAAATGGCGGCGGCCGGACGGAAAATCATGTCCCTCCGGCTGGACAGGATCATTCCTCATATATATGATACTTATACTTGAACTTCTAGAAGAAAGATTTTAGTATAAAATAAAATGTTGGAGTCTTATATTCAAACATGTATCAATACACTTCTTGATGTTGAATAAATATTTAATGAGGTTAATCATTAGAACTTTAAATCTATACTAGTGTTCCTCCCGTGCACTGCACGAGATGTAATTTGTAGTTATCATAAATATAAATAAGTAAACATGTACATTTGTTAACATATACAGAGAATTAAAGAACTCCTTATAGATAACATTTTTCACGACCTTTTCATATTTTCTTCTTCATCGCATATCACAAAACGTTGCATATCACAAACTTTAAGAATTATATGTAAATAGATAAATAGCATAAATAACATATGAAGTATATGAATATTTGGTAAAAATATTCAATTTTAAGAAATAGATACATATTTTTAAATAAATTCAAATAAGCGTATTTAGAGAATATTGTCCCTTAAAAATAGCATAATGTTTCACTAATGTATCCCTTAAAAAATCAGTAATACAAATAAATGTATTTAAAGAATACTATCCCTTAAACATACCGTAATGGTTCACTAATATATGCTCCCACTCGAAATGAATTTTATATCAAAGATAAAATATATGAGGTATGTTGTACTTTCTAGGAGGTAGCATTTTCAAAACAAAAAAGATAGAATGAAATAAAAAATTATCAAACAACAAAGGAAATAGTTTGAAGAATCCATATAAAAAAACTAGAGCTCATTTTATGGATTCTCCACAATAAAAATCTATGGCATAATATAATACTCTGTAGCTCATTTTGTAATAATGATTTTAGAATGAAAAAATAAAAAAGAATTTAAAACCATCTTAGAGAATAGATGAGATTCATACTTTAAATATAAAACTTTTTTCTACATGTGTAAAATAGGTGTTATCATCAGACTACTTGATTGAACATATAAAATAGCTGCACTTAATGATTTTAACAAATATTCAAGCAATAAAAAAATAAAATAAAAAAATATTCAAGCATAATAGTACTCAGCTCATTGAAATTTAACCCAAATTAAAGACCAAATCAGTCATTTATAAGATAATCTTTATACGTCAAACTGGACTTTTTATATAAATTGTTTTAAATTAAAATTGTATTCTATACATCGTGTTAAACAATTGAAGTTACCACCAGATCGCTTTTGGTTACACATTCAGTATTTTTTTTTTTGGAAGAGAAGGCTTAAATTGATTTCAAAGCATTATCACTCAGAAATGGAGTAAACAAAGTAAGGAATCACATATAACCGTCAGCCCGCGAACTAGACTTGGAGTTAATCACCTTCAAACAAGCAATATAACCAGTTGATCCATTAATGGGCAAACCTAAGTCATGGACGATTGAAGCAGACCAAACTTCACTCGATCTTAATGCAAGAGTCTAACAATTGAAAGAAATAACAACAAAATAAAACATAATGTGATTAACAGCAACAATAATAAAAATAGCAGTAAAGTAAAAATTCTTCTTCATCGCCATGAGCACCTTCACCGAAACCTCTCTTGAGCTTTTCGGCCATCCAACGCAAACCAGCGAACCTACAAGAGGCCCGGCTCCGCTCCATTTTTTGTTCGTCCAGTGCCATGCCTTCCCCTGACGACGGAAATGTTGTCTCATCAAAGTGACAATATGTAAATCTTGTGGTAAAGAGATCGCCTGTCAAAGGTTCCAAATAACGGATAATTGTTGGAGATTCATAGCCAACGTATATACCTAATCGTCTTTGAGGACCCATTTTAGTGCGTTTGTGGAGGTGCAATTGACACTAGGGCTGCACAAGAATAACCTGAACCCGCATAACCCGCCCAACCCAACCCTACCTGGTCACTTTTAATCAAGTATTTTTTAAAAATATTCACGGGTTAAATATGTACGAACCCGCACCTAATGAGTAGGGTTGCGGAATTAAAATCTCAAACCCAATAGTACCCTACCCGGCTGAAAGTTCAATATATTATTATGTACAAAGTTAGTTGGATAATTTCTATATAAGACGAA